TCTGCCCAGGCTGGGCATTCCCAGAGTGGGGAGGACCCAGTGTGTGCACAGGCTGGGCATGCCCAGAGTGGGGAGGACCCTGAGTGCTGCTGGTTACACACACACCCTCTCTCTCTCCTCTCCCCACCCTTACCCCCTCAGCAGGTTCTCTCTACATAGTTCTAGATGTCCTGGAATTCACTCTGTAGACCAGGCTTGCTTCAAACTCAGAGATCCAACTGCCTCTGTCTCCCAAGAGCTAGGTGTTGGGATTAAAGGCCTGTGCCACCATGCTTGGCCAGTGGTTACATGATTGAGAATGGCTTCTGAACTTTGAAAGAAACAGATTTATGACGATAAGCACTTTTCTGTAAATGCCTAATAGAAACTTGTGGCCTTTAATGTGAGTATTGAGTTATCTTTCACAGGCCAGGGGTTCTGTTGTCTGCACTGAATCTAAGTTGTTGCCAGTCATACCAGGTACCCTAGATGTTAAAGTCTGGATAAAAAAAAAAAAGCTGCAGCATTTACAAGACATTTATTAATGAAATACACAACACAGTTCCAGAGTTAGTAACGCATGGGGGCAGGTGTCTTAGAGTCAGTGAAGTATAGACTGCTGCCATGGCTGACTGCCCATGGCTGTTGACACCGTGCAGGTGCTGTTCTAAATACTTACAGAAAGACATTTACCCAGCACCCCCACACCCTTGCCTGCTGTTCCCATCCCCATTTTAAAAGTGAGGAAATTAAAGACAGAGAAAAAAGCACCTTGCCTAAGGCTGTCTGCCTGGTAAGTGGTGGAAGTTGACCTGAACTGAGCCTGGCTCCAGAGCCCATATTGTCAAGCTCGCACATGCTGCTGAGAAGGACTGCTGAACACACTACCATTGGCCTTGCTACTGTTGTCTCTGCAGATGAGTAATTGAGGCTTGAAGGATTGATTAGGCAGTAATCCAGGGTAAAGCTCTTCAGCTAGGACAGAGAGCGCTGCCGTTGACACTCAAGTCTGTGAAGCCTGCTCTGTAACCTGGCCCTGCGTGAGCTTCCAGTAAGTCTCTCCTGATTGTTTGCTTGTGCAGATGAATATGGACCTATTAAAAGCACAGGGTCAGTGAAGCTTTTGCTTCAGTAGCAGTCACATGACTTTAATGACACTTCCTTGGGTCATTAGGGCACTCCGTAGCTAAGGCACAGTCACGAGCGAAGGGGAAGTCCCTGCTGGCTCTAGTGGGCTGTCTTCTCACATTTGCCATGTGCCAGGCCTGAGACAGGCAAGAATCCCAGGGGGCGGAGACTCAGTGGTGTAACTATGCTTTTTGACGTTCAAGACACATAGTCTGTTGCAGAAATAACTAGAAGAAAGTGTGCTGTGGCTGTTTTCCCTTTGTCCAGCAGGTGTCAGGGAAGGCAGAGCTGCCTGGGAACTGGAGACTCCTAGGCTTGCCTGGACCTGTGGCAGAGTGTGAGGAGGGTCTCCATCAGTTTCCTGCCATGGGCTGAAATAGAGGTAGCGACATAGTGGACACAGGATTGCCATGGATGGATGAAGAGAGACAGCCTCTGGGGGAAAGTCCAGTCAGGTGGCTGTGGCTGCACAGTCGTCATGTCCCGGCGCTGCTCCCACCCCCACCAGCTTTGCTCCCAACCTGTCCCCTGCCTCCTTTCTGTCCCCTGCTTCCTTTCAATGCTTGGTCTTCTAAACACCAAGACTCTCCCATGGAACAGCCAGTGTTTACGTTAGTGGGAGAGGAACACACCCATGGTCAGTGGCAGGGCTGTGTCACTTTAGAGTTGTAGCTTTCTGAGGCTGTGGGCGGAGCGGGCACCCTGAAATGAGGCCATGGCATTGAGAGAGTGACCCGAGCCAGAGTTGACTTGGCTGTAATGCAGTGTTGCATCATTCTCATGAGCAGCTGGGGCTTTGTGCCTCACCACCATGCAACCATGCAGCAAAACTGTTATGCAAACATTGTTGTACTAGGTGATCCCTCCTTACAGGGAGGGGGGAAATGTTGCCAATTCAGCTTCAGCATTTGGCAGTTTTAATTCTACGTTTATTAAGAGGATCCTTCAGTTTTTGTACATATATGAGAAAGAAACAGATGTAAGCTATGCTTTAATACTTTTTGCATTTTTGAATTTGTTTTTTATTTACACACACACACACACACACACACACACACACACACAGACATGCACGCACGTGGATGTATTCAGGTTTTCATGGAGGCCAGAAGAGGGTATCTGATGCCCTGTAGTGGAGCTACTCCAGGCTGTTGTGAGCCACCTGACCTGGTGCTGGGAACTGAAGTTGGGTCATCTCCAGGGGCAGTGTGCACGCTTAACTGCTGGGCCATCTCTCCAGCCCATTAGCTGGCCTGGTACAGTGTTCCTGGTACGGCTTTGAATGTCTAACTCAGAATGACTGACATCCTTGTTTTCATGACCATCATTCTCTGCCATTCAGAATATGGGGGAGACAACACTTGTCACTGGAGTATTTTTTTCTAAAATGATGACACCATCTTATTAGGAATTTTTGTGGTTGTTTTTTAATGGCCTATATTAATTATACATAATTGTGGGTTTCATTTGACATTTTCATACATGTCTATAATGTGTTTTGATCTTATTTGCCCTCTCTGCTGTCTTTTTCCCTCCCCTATTCCTGCTAATCCCATTCCTGTCCCCAACTATCCCCTCTTCTAAGCTGGTCATGGTGGTGCACGTCTTTAATCCCAGCACTTGGAGGACAAAGGCTGATGGATCTCTAGTTTGAGGCCAGCCTAGTCTGTAGGGTGAGTTCCAGGACAATGAGGCCTACACAGTGAAACCCTGTCTTGAAAAAACAACAACAATAGAAACAACAGCAACAGCCAGGCGTTGGTGACGCACGCCTTTAATCCCAGCACTCGGGAGGCAGAGGCAGGAGGATCTCTGTGAGTTTGAGGCCAGCCTGGTCTCCAGAGCGAGTGCCAGGATAGGCTCCAAAGCTACACAGAGAAACCCTGTCTTGAAAAACAAAAAACAAAAACAAAAAAGAAACAACAGCAACCCCCCCAAAAATAACCCCCACAAAAAAACAGCTCGCCCCTCTTCTTGTATTTTCTTCTTCTTTTTCTTTTTGGACAGAGGTCTCTGTGTAGCCCTCGCTGACCTGGAACTTGCTTTGTAGACTATGCTGGCACTGTCACATCTTTTTTTTTTTTTTTTTTAAGATTTTAATTTATTATGTATATACTCTTCTGCCTGCAGGCCAGCAGAGGGCACAGGATCTCATTCAAGGTGGTTGTCAGCCACCAAGTCGTTGCTGGGAATTGAACTCGGGACCTCTGGAAGAAGTGTCAGTTCTCTTAACCTCTGAGCCTCCAACTTTCACATTTTTTTTTTTTTTTTCGAGAAAGGGTTTCTCTGTGTGGCTTTGGAGCCTATCCTGGCACTCGCTCTGGAGACCAGGCTGGCCTCAAACTCACAGAGATCCTCCTGCCTCTGCCTCCCGAGTGCTGGGATTAAAGGCGTGCGCCACCAATGCCTGGCAACTTTCACATCTTTAAAAACCATTTATTTCTGTTTTATTTGTATGAGTGTTTGCATATATGTATATGTGTGTGCATCAGAGGTATGCTTATTTCTTCCTATGTGTGGAGACCCAGTGAGTTTAGGGTTGTTTACAGGAGCGTGGGGGAGAGGCTGTCATCTGCAGGAGTGTGGGGGAGAGGCTGTCATCTAGAGGAGAGTGAGGGAGAGGCTGTCATCTAGAGGAGCGTGGGGGAGAGGCTGTCATCTAGAGGAGCGTGGGGGAGAGGCTGTCATCTAGAGGAGCGTGGGGGAGAGGCTGTCATCTAGAGGAGCGTGGGGGAGAGGCTGTCATCTAGAGGAGCGTGGGGGAGAGGCTCTGTACAGTAGCATGGGCACCTTACCAGAAGATTCGCCACTGAACCAGTGTCTCCACTAAGTGCCTCTGGATCCTGAGGGACCCCATGAGCCCATGTTGATGGTGGGACTCTTGTGCAGATAGTCACCTCTGCTTTAAGTAGTGCAGTGGCCTTGTCACGCCTAGGAGACAGCGTCCACAGCACTCCACCCCGTTTGCCTCTTTCGTTCTTTCCCGTCTCCCTTCTGCAATGTTCCCTCAACCTTGGAGGTTGTTTTCTGTGTTTGATCTGGCAGTTGCCTATTGTTAGCACTTCACCTTTGGTTAGGAATTCTGGGAAGTGTGGTTCCGATCTCCTATGTTGACACAGCCTGTGGGTCAGAGCCACGCTCAGCCGTGTTCTTTTGATGTCCTCTTAAGCTCCTGTGCCTTACTGTTTGGCTGGAAGATGGAGAGCTCTTAGTGTCAACCTCTGGAGGTGGCCTTGAGGCTTAACTCGTGTGTAAAATGTGGAGGGCAGTGGCCCCCCACAAGTGTCTTCAGTGACCAGTGCGCATCCATCTCCATCTCGGTCAGTTTGTAGTTTACAGTGTGTGGTGTAGTCTGTGTGCAAGCACAATGTTACAGAATGCAATGTGGCTCTGCCTTCCATCTTCTTATTCAGGGAGCCAAGCCCTGTTTGAGAGGTGAAGAAATTCATTCTCTTCAAATGGAACGGAAGCGTTTCCGTTTTCAGTCCCCTGAGATGATGCAGCTTCAAAGCACAGAACCAGGACTGTGTCCTTGACTTTGCCGTGGCTGACAAGGGAGGGCTACCCAGATCATTCTGGCTCTGCTCAGAAGAGGCATCCTACCTACTGTCCTATCTCCTCTCTGGTCCTCAGTTCTCTGACTCTTCTCTCAGAGCCTTCTGTGACGCAGTAGGTGCTCCTTGGGTCTCACAGAAACATGCTTGTGTACATACATGCTGTGGCATGACCTATAGGCCTCCAATATGGAGGACCATTGACTGCTGTGCTGGGCCCAGCATGCAACCTCCAAGTCAGATCAGAGAGCCGGGCTTTGATGGAGGACGGGTTTTATGGGTGTGTGTGTGTGTGTGTGTGTGTGTGTGTGTGTGTGTGTGTTGGAGAGCCTGCCACAGTCCAAGCCAGTTTTCCTTCTAATGCCCCTGAGTCACAGTGAACACCTGTCACTGGTTACTTAAGATGTTTTACATTAGTGAGATTGTATGTGACATTCCATTGAGCTTTCTGAGTGACAGTACTCTGAGAATGTAGAAGACTCCAGCTATGCAGATGAGGGAAGTGTCATTTGGGTTTACCACTCACCCAGCAGACAGGAGGTTCTCCAGTGGTTTCTTAATGACCCTTTTCTGTTTGTTTGTTTGTTTGTTTTAGACTGTTTGAAAAGAAGAAACTGGTCAGAAGCAGGCATACCCTGTGCCTGGGAGGGCTGGGATCTGGGTGGGGTGACTGGACAGTGGGTAGTTAGCCCACTCCTTTCCAGGGTGTGGACTCTCACTGTCTAGACCACTAATCTGGCACTGTTCCTATGGTACCTAACTCCCATGAGGACACCCTAAGAGAGCTGGCCACAGTCCCCTGGGCTTGGGTAAAGGGGACTAAGGGATAGCAGAGGGCTGGGTAGCTGATCAGGACTCACGCTGGGAGCCAGAGCTAGGTTCATGTGACCTCTACACACACTTAATGGCATATGTACACATACACATGAATAAACAAATGTGAGTTAAAAAATAATAATTGGCCAGACGTGGTGGTGCAGGCCTTTAATCCTAGGACATGGCAAGTAGAGGCCTACAGATCTCTGAGTTTGAGGGCAGCCTGGTCTATACAGCGAGTGCTAGGCCAGCCAGGACACATAGAGAGACCCTGTCTCAAAAATACCCAAAAGTAAGTAAATAAATAATATAGATAAAAGATTTGGATACATGCATTTGATTGCAAAGTCACTCCCATAAATGGAACAGTATGAAGGCAGGCATGAAGCCAGAATTCCGGGGTGCACAGGACAGAGGGGATTAGTGGGAAGGGGTTCCAGCTAATTCAACTGTCAGAACCAATGTGTGAGCGCAGGACTGGCCCTAGGAGAGCCCACAGCCAGCAGTGTGCAGGAGCTGGGAGGCACCTGCCCAGGCTGAGACTGCACACCTGTGTCACTGTACTCAGTCTGTTTTCTTTATGGAGAAGAAAGGCTTTGGACAGGATCTGCCTGTGTGTGTAGTCCTCAGAATTGTGGGAATCCTCCTGCCTCGGGTTTCCAAGTGCTGAAATTAAAGGCATAGGCCACTCTTAATACTGGCTTTTTTAAAATTTCTTTTTCTTTTTGTACTGGGGAATGTACCTAGGGCCTCAGCACTGTAGGCAAGTGATGAGCCTGATGCAAATGGAAGGCAGAAGAGGGTGTCAGGTTATTGGAATTGTAGTTACGAATGCTTGTGCTGGCAACTGAACCCTGGTACTCTACAAGAGCAGCCAGTGCCTCTAACCACTAAGGGATCATCCCCAGCCCCTTCTTTTATTGTTTTAATATTTTGTGTGTGTGTGTGTGTGTGTGCCCTCGCACATGCGTTTGCACACGTGCCTAAGTGAATGTGTGTGGCCTGCAGAGCCCAGAAGAGGGTGTTTGGATCCCCGAAACAACTGCCCAGTGTAGTGCAAGAGCAGTAAGTGCTCTCAGCTGCTGAGCCATCTCTCCAGCCCCTGTTTTTAGGATTCTAGGAAATTTTAGTGTCATGTGAAACAATATAATAAAAAAAATTATGCTGTTGAATGAAAAGTTAGTTGCACTTAGAGACGTTTTTGTTTGTTTTATTTTTTGAGACATATGTATGTGGCATATGTGGCTGGTGAGTTTCTCTGTGTAGCTTTGGAGCCTATTCTGGAATTCGCTCTGTAGACCAGGCTGGCCTCGAACTCAGATCTGCCTGCCTCTGCCTCCCGAGTGCTGGGATTACAGGTATGTGCTGCAACCCCCAGCTCACAGGGTTTATGTTCATTTCATAAATGTGTGTGTGTGTGTGTGTGTGTGTGTGTGTGTGTGTGTGTGTCATTGGTAAACATACTGGTCCATCTCCTTGCCTGTACAGGGAGAAGACATCCATTATCAGAGAAAAAGATCATGCATTACATGTACCAGTTATGCAAATCGCTCGACCACATGCACAGGTAGCTGGGATGGGGCAGCTCCCCCGCCAGCGTACAGGGACAAGGCTCTAGGCGGAGACTTTGGATCAGTGAGGTGCAAGTCATTCTCTTCGTTCTTTCTTTAATACTCAATGCAGAAACGGGATATTTCACAGAGATGTAAAACCAGAAAATATACTAGTAAAGGTAAAAACTTTTATATAGAAACTTGATATCAAAAATAAAGGCAGAATATAAAGTTTTGAATGTATTCTTTTTTTCTAGATTTTTTTTATTTTTTTTTTTTTTTTTTATTTTTTTTTTTTTTTTTTTTTTTAGTTAAGTGTATTGTTTGTCTGAGTGTGGGTATGTGCACAAAAGTATAGGTACCCATGGAAGAGCCAAGATTCAAGGCCTCTGGAGCTGGAGTTACAGAGGGTTGGGAGCTGCTATGTGGGTCCTGGGAACTGAACCTGTATCCTCTTGCAAGAGCAATACACACTCTTAGCCACTGAGCCATCTCTCCAGACTCAGAATGTAAAGTCTGATTCACTGGGTATGACTTCTGTCTCAGATAGCTAGAATATATGGTTGGGGTTGAGTTTTGTGGTGCTGGAACAGAACCCAGGGCCATTTTAGACAGACTTTCTGCCCTGGCCTGCGTTAGTAGACCTTGTTTTCCAAGTTTGTAAAAGGAAACTTGCTTTAGCAAGTATTGTCAGCATTACCGACTTTACCCCGGAAAGAATGCAATAGATGGAGGTCGTTTTGCTCAATAGACAGCTACTCCCTGTCTGGAAATGGAAATAACTGTTCTCCATGCTGAATGTCAGCTTGGGAGAGGGAGAGTTTGGAGGCCTGCCAAATTTGAGATATCTCAGACTTGAGGTCTCTTCTGACGTCTCCTTGCTACCCAGATTTCAAGTGTAGCATGCATGGTTTGTCTGGCTTGCTATCAGAAGAGTCCCCTTGAGCCACATGGCTGCAAGGAGCCTGTGTGCCATGAGGCTAGGGAGAACCACCCAGAGCAGAGACCTTGGGAGCTGCTGTTGGAGGGCGTATGTGGCATATGTGGCTGGTGAAGGGACTCATCTGAACTTGGGCACCTTCCCAACACATGGAACTTTGTGTTCTTCCAACACATTCTCCCACTAGATATTACAGAGCTTGTACATTGTGTGCTGTGAGCTGCTTAGATGCTGGGATTTTCCTGTAGTTTGTATGTTTGAAACCGTTTGTGTGACAGTGGCCATAGATTGAGATAGAGCCAACCCCAATCTCTCTCCCTTGCAGCAGGATGTCCTGAAACTAGGGGATTTTGGGTCGTGCCGGAGTGTCTATTCCAAGCAGCCCTACACAGAGTATATCTCCACTCGGTGGTACCGGGCCCCAGAGTGTCTTCTCACCGATGGGTTCTACACGTACAAGATGGACCTGTGGAGCGCTGGCTGTGTGTTCTACGAGATTGCCAGGTAGAGCAGGGCCAGCACCTGAGCCTGATGCACCTCACAGAGTGACATGGGCAGGTCACATGGTGAGGCTGGGCAAGGTACTTGCCATTGGTAGTGCCTTGCTTTAAGCTCTAAGATTTGGTCATTCCTGTTTCTGCTTGGTTTCTACTGCACTGGGCAGACCTGCAGCAGGCAATTGACTAGGTTTTCATCCCACCTTTTGCCAAGTACTTGCCCTTACTTGCATGGCCTGGGCAGCAGTACCGGCAGGCCCCATGGCAGGCTAGGGCTGGGGGTGTGGCTCGACCATGCAGTGACTACAAGCAAGATCAGAGAAACAAAGCACCGCCACCTTTGACCCTCCTCTGTGAGGAATTGAGAGCAAGAGCAAGTGGCCTGACACAGTGTGGGCAGGAGGCTCCTTCTGGCATGATTGGACTTTTCCAAAGGGTCCAGGTTCAGTTCCCAGCACCCACATGGCAGTTCACAGCCATCCATAATTGTAGTTCCAAGGGGTCTGATGACCTCTTCTGGGCATTCCTGGGCACCTGATATGCACACAGTGCACAGACACACACAGGCAAAACACCATACACGGAATTACAAAGTTTAAAATTGTAAGTTTAGGCTGTTTTGGGGTAACACCCTTTTTTTTTTTTTTTTTTGAGTT